TTCTTGCGCGTCATATGCTGCCCGACTAAGGTGTTCGATGAGTTGAGTTGTCTCAACATCGCGAGTATGGGATCTGTAGAGGCACAAGTAGACTTTGGCCTGGGGACCAGAGTCGACGTGTACCACCAGCATGGAGTAGGAGTGATCTTCCAAGCAGCGGAGACGCCGACAACAAACATTCGCCCGAACATACAGGCATACACCGGCTTTCGCTTTGAAGGACTCTTTAAACACGTAGCCGGGATAGTTAAGGTAGCCTGTGTCAGCAGGCAGAAGTATTTGTGTCTCCGTCAACAATGCTGGGCGTGCTCTTTCAAGATAGTGGTGGACAGCGTTGAGGTTAGAGTGGAGTCCGCGTATGTTGCAGAACTCTAGTTAGGAACTGGTTAGGAACGCTCGGGCCCCTATACTGTGCCACGGGCGGCCAGCGGGACAGCCGTTTCTACTGGTCTCCCTGGACGGCGGGTCGATGCAGTCCTCCCGGCATCGGTTCGACGGATGCCTCCCCTGGACTGAATCAGTCGCGACAACCTCCACTCGAGCTCTGGTTGTACGCTGGTTGACCCCGAAACACGCGAGAAGCACTTAACGGGGTTTTCACCATGCGTACGGTGGTAACAAACCAGGCGGGAGTTAGGCACCGTAGCATCAGAAGAGCGGCTCCGATATCCCTTATTCGCTTCTTACGACACCCACGCGAAGAGAAGGGGTGGTGAGTTGTATTCTTTTTCCGTCACCGCACTGATAAAATTGGTCTTAGTGTTAGGGCGTGTGGAGATAGAAGCATGGCTGTACGTGCGATCTGATAACTTTTTGTCGTGCGAGTGATACATGATCCCGTCTTGGCAACATTTTCCATGAAAATGTTTTGGAGAGATCTTTTATTCAGTTCAGACTTTCAGGCACCTTACAGATCGCCATTGGACATCTCTTGGCAGAACCAGCATCAGGCACGACACCGGAACAGACAGTATTCTAAGTTATCCTTGGTGGATCCCTTCGACTCCGTTGTCGACGATTTACACAGAGTACGACTATATTGTCGATGGGCCCGTAAATTACAGGGTCAAGGGACAACCAAGCCCGAATCCCACCGGTACTCTTGAAATTCCAGACCAGTCGAGCTAAAAAAGTTATCTTAAATATGATCATGACTTTAATAAATAAAAATATAAAGACAAAAAGGTACGGACCAATGTAAATTTAAAAATATAATAAAAAAAGAACTTCCCTGTCTACCCGACTGATCTGTGTAAAACTCAAAAATAACGATCAAGCTTTGAACATAAATAAGTAATTGTAGGTACCTACAGGTACTTCTACATAGGTATGTACTACTCCAAAGAGAAGAGTGCTGGTGTACCTGGAAGCCGGTGGACTAGCAGGATGAATATTATTGATATACAGTACCTACAGTATCCGGAAGCTAACATATCTCTTTTTAAATTTGAGGGACGTAACTTTGTAAAAATAAATCGTATTATGCAGAATCAATTTAAACATAAGTTTGGACGGAGGTAGGAGCATTTAAGCAGTGCATAGAAGGTATACGTACATATTCAGTGTGCTGTATGGTTATGGTGGTGAACGGATGCGCTAAATTACCGGGAAATATTAAAATCGAATATTGGCATTTTCTATTTTAATGCAATTCCGCGTAAACACAAGACATTATAATAATAATAGCTACTTAAATACGCATTTAAAACATTCAAAATCGCGTCGAGTACAGTGGACGCCGCAGGGTGGCAGTTTGTAAAGATGCAAGAAGTCTTTGAAGATGTAAATATATATATATATATATATATATATATTACAGATCTATATTGTAAAAAATCCTAGTTATGTGCCCCACTAATATTATAATTTGATGAATTCTTTTTGCACTACTAAGATTTTTGCTATAACAGGGATGATGACTAATTTTTTTTTCTTCGCTTATCAGGTAGATTATCAAAAACTATTGGACACGTATTTTTTCTTTTTTCACATAATATGAACATTGCAGAGATATATTGATTTGAAAAGTCGCATGACGTCACGTTTGAGTACACTTATAAGTGAAAATTCTCTCAAAAGTGACGTCACGAGCCCCTACTCCCAAACTTTGACGCGCTATAACTTAGTCATTTTTTGGTTGATTGCCCAAAGAAAAAATACGTGTCCATTATTTTTTGATCATCTAACTGACGGACTAAATAGAATTGCGTTTACTGTACCCCGTCATCACCCCTATTCTCCGGTTGACTGGTAGAGAATGCCTAATGGCATTAAGTCCGCCACTTGTACACTCAATTGTGCAATAAAGAATAAATAAATAAATACAAGTGCGAATGTGTGTCTGTAGGCTTAAAGAATTTATTCTCATAAAGGACATTGGGCAAAAATGTATGGACGCTGCACCCTCGTCCGCCACGGCTTAAACTACATTTGATTGAAAGGTATTATAGTCATGATCATATGTGCCAAAGCGCATCAAATTCCATCCCGGGGGTCTTTAGTTATTTTAAGTTAAATGTGTACAAGTACTATAACGAACAAATATTAATGAAACAAGGGAATTGATTTAGTTAGTTAGTTCGACTCTACATAGTGTGCTCAGGAATTATGGGAGTTCTTCACAAGGCGCAAGGGTGCCCCCTTATGTTATACTGCCGCGCTAGAGTAAATTCAAATATCCCCGCATGGGTTGGGTTTTTTTTAAACATTCTGTTCGTTACAGTAAATTGTCCGTTTTACATAGAAGATATATAAAACGTAGCGACCATAGATGACACAAACTTGTCCTCGCTTCGGAGAACACATAATTCCAGTTCATCCATACTAATTGACAAAACCGATAATCGTGTTCCAATATCCAAAGCGTGTTAGATAAAAATCAATTAAGTAGCAGGGAGCGCACAATTAAAACGAAGTAAGACGAGTCGACTATTGGCAACTGCAAGTCCTTCATCATCCGTAAACCGTTTTGAGATGTCTCAGTAAGAGCAAGCGTAGGATGGTCGGCAGGCTTTGTCATATATCTGGTTGTATAGTACGATATGGCATAATATTATGGTTACTAATAATATAAAATTAATGTACTATACCATAAAATGAATTTATTCAGCTACTTAAATATGCCCATGTGTCATATCTATTGACTACCAGGATATTTTTTACGGTGTCATATCTTTTGACTCCCAGGATATTTATTTTCGGTGTCATAATAAAAGAGGCTAGTTTTTCATAGATCTATCGATTCATACTAATTACATTGTTGGCGGAGCTGGGTGTGTTTTGCCCATTGTCCTTTCATTTACAATGAGAATACTTACACAGCCAGTGTTACTAGAACAAAAAAAAAACAAAAGAAAACTTCCAATATATTTCTTTTATTAATAAAAACCTCCAAAGTCCGTTATTTACACAATTTTGCTTCGAAGAATATTTTAACTTTTCAATAACCTTATGAACTTAGAATTTGTATAAAACGCCAATTCAATATTGATAAGTCCATAGATTGTCTTTGTAAACCTAATACGGATTTTCAAGTGTGTAATGTAAATGTAGAAACGGGAATTTTATAATAATTTCCGTCCGCAACAGCAGTTTTGTCCTATATTTTCTTATTATCGTATTCCAACTAGAGTTGCCAGATGGCCGGGAACTCCGAGATGGTCCCGGAATTTTGCGTCTTGTCCCGTCATCATCAGCCTATTAATGTCCCCACTGCTGGGGCACAGGCCTTCCCCATGGATGGAATAGGGAGTTTGGGCCATGACCCACCACGCGGGCCCAGTGCGGATTGGTGGATGCTAACGACTGCAGATGCAGCCGGGACCAACGGCTTAACGTTCCTTCCGAAGCACGGAGGAATTCGAGATAGTAAATTTTTGGTCACCCATCCAATGACCGACCACTGCGAAAGTTGCTTAACTTCAACGATCGCAGCCGAGCGCGCTAACCACTTGCGCCATCGAGCTTGTCCCGTAATTAGACCTTATTGTCCCGGATTCCGATAATGTCCTAGTTGCGTAACAAAATAAACTAATAATGAATGACACCGCTGGCTTGCTTGATGTTTTAATTCTGGGGGGGGGGGGGGGGGGGGGGGTTGATTTAATTCTTTATTTTATAAATGTCCCGGAATTGATAAGCCAGCATCTGGCAACCCCAATTCCAACCCGTAATCTGGGTAATCAAAATGGCCGCCAAACCCCTGTCTGTGTTAGCCCTCCATTTTGTTTTTCACGACCGTAGTTTTTTTCCGGTCGATTTTTCTCTTATTTTTCGAGTTCTACTGTACACCCAGGCTTCATTTATGTCTTAAATCAATCCTGAATAGTTACTCCACAAACTTATCTTAAAAAATACAAATTAAAAACCATTACTTAATACCTATGATAAAACGCAAAAAATGAAAAATAAAAATATATATGTGTATATATAATATTAATATAATTATAAATTGAAATTGATGAATTAATTTGTAAATTGTAGGAATGGATCTTGTGTCTGAAATAAAAGTATATTATTATAATTATTAAAAAGAATTGTATCAACTCGTGGCAGAATTGTGCCACTTCCAAAGACAGGGGTTTTTTGACGTTGGCAGAAATCTGCCATTTACACAGACTAGGGGATATTTGACTTATTATTTTGCTAATCTGATTATTCTCTTTTCAACTACTTAGTTTTCTCACTAAATGAGTTCTTAGCCTAACTTGGCAACATTGTCTAATATAACAGAACTTATGATTTTACTTATTTTTAAGCATTTAACTGCTAGATGTTTAAATCTAAAGAAAAGTTTACTAGAAAAAAATCCACGCGGACCAGGCAGCGGACGGGACTCGAACCCGCATCCTTCGCTATCCGGGCGAATGCACTGACCATTATGCTACCACGGCCCTATTAGCCGCGTCGAAATTTTCCTAGCCTTAAGCTGCAAGGCAGCGCCATCTCTTCGCATTGTAGGTAATCCAATAATAATAACAGAACTTGTTTTTAACTTGCAGGCTTACGCGAAACAGGGCAGGAAGCATTTAATTCTGGTGCCAATAGCATTCGTTAATGAACATATAGAGACATTACACGAATTGGACATTGAATACTGCGATGAAATTGCTAAAGAGGTAAGTGAGCAAACTTAATTTTTATGTCAAATTAAAAGTACACCATTAGCTACAATATGTATTGTTTCTAGTCATTTTTTCAAAATTATAAATTAAAATCTTCTAAATATAAAATTCTCGTGTCACGGTGTGCGTAATTGAACTACTCCGAAACGGCTCGATCGATTTTCGTATAATTTTATATGCATATGCAGTAGGTCTGAGAATCGGACAACATCTATTTTTCATCCCTCTAAATGTTATGGGTGATCCATCCTTAATTTTTTTTTGATTTAGACATTTTTTTTTTGTTTTTATTTTTTTATGATACGTCATGTTAAAAATACACCCCTAAATTTTCACCATTCTACACATCTATTTTTCATCCCCCTAAATGTTAAGGGTAATCCACCCCTAATTTTTTTTTTTCAATTTCAGTTTTTTTTTTATGATACATCATACAAAAATAAATATAACCCAAAATTTTCGCCCTTCTACCACCAACCCCCATTTTTTTATGGTGATACGAAGTTCGCTAGTAATTTATAAAATACTAGCTGACGCAGCGAGCTTCGTACCGCCATTAAAAATAGGGGCAGGTGGTAGAAGAGAAAATTTAGGGTTGTATGTATTTTTTAATAGCAAATTATACAAAAAAAATGTCCAAAAAAAGTTTAGAGTCGTGTAACGTAGTGTTCTATCAATTACCTGAGAAAACATTCCTCCTAACCCATATGAGAACACTGCGTTACAATACCCAATAGTTTGAATTTTGGCGCGAAGGCGCATTGTAAGTTTCAGGTGGACAACCATTATCAATTACATAATTATTAATGTATATTTAATAATTATGTAATGAAAGGTGACTTCATGAATCATTTCTGAAGTCATTTTTCAATTTGACGACTCTGTAAATAATAAAACAGGGAGAAAAAAACAGCCCTTGCTGAGTTTCTTGCCGATTCTTCTCAGTACAAGGTCTCCCGCCGTAGATTTACGAACCGATGGAGTAGCTTCTAGACATTCATGAGTGCTTGTAACAGCTTAAACTGAATAAATGATTTTGATTATGATTATAATTAAGGATATGAAAAATGGATAGTAGCCGATTCTCAGACCCACGGAATATGCATATAAAATTTCATAAAAATCGGTCAGACCGTTTCGGAGGAGTATGGTAACTAACATTGAGACACGAGAATTTTATATATAAGACTAGCTGACCCAGCGAACTTCGTACCGCTCTAAAAAAATAGGGGTTGTCCAGCGGACAAAATTGTGAATCTAAACCATTCTCAGATCCCCTTGAACACACACAAAAAATTTCATCAAAATCGGTCCAGTCGTTTAAGAGAAGTTCAGTGACATACACACTCACAGAAGAATTATATATATAACTAGCGGCCCGCCCTCGCTTCGCTTCGGTGTAGAGCTGAAGTGTAGACTACAGTTTTTGTTCTCAGGCTTGTATTATACACAATGACATTCATCTATGATTCTTCTTATACCTGCATGCAAAGTCTCAGCCCGATCGGTTTAAAATTGATAAAGTTTCATACAAACTTTCATTCCTTATTTTATCCCCTTGGGATTTTCTTTATATTTTTTTCCGTAAGAACCTTGTACAGAGTATTAGAAAACTACAAAAAAAAACAGCCAAATCGGTCAAGCCGTTTTCATGTTATGTCGTGACAACGGAAAACGGGTTTCATTTTTATATATATAGAAGATATTAAATTTCATGGTGTACAATAAAGTGATCATTGATTCATTAATTCATATCCATCTTTTGAATAGATGGAAAGGTGAAAAGTTTCACTAAATATTCAAATGATTTTTACATGACACAAAATTACCATTTTTGTTTAGGGTTTTCGCAGTGTAAAACTTAGTAGAAAGTAGGTTTAGCAATTTTCAATGGAGTTTGTATGGACTTTTGAGTTTTTGGAAACGGCGAACTGAATGCGAAGCTTTTCGACTTTCACACATGCATGTAAACGCCCAAACTAAATGAAGAAAGATTTTAATTTGAATAATCTCTTATCTATTAGACAAGTCCGTCCGTCTGTGGTGCTGTTTCAGCGGCCAAACCGTAAGAGATAGATAAAGAGAATATTTAAGTTATAAGTTAAGAATAGTCTGATAAGACTACAAACCGGATTTGAGTAACGTAGCACTTCCGGTTTTCGAGAAATCAGGTTTTGGTGTACATTTGGTTCACTGGTTTGCTAGTCTATACTAATATTATAAAGCTGCAGAGTTTGTTTGTTTGAACGCGCTAATCTCTGGAACTACTGGTCCGATTTGAATGATTCTTCCAGTGTTGGGTAGTCCATTTATCGAGGAAGGCTGTAGGCTATATATATATATATCTTTTTTTTCAAAATTAGGGATCCGTAGTAAAATTGCTATTTTGTAACACAAGGTGTAAAATCGAAAACCTATTTTTGCGTGCGTTGCAAAAACTATTGACAATAGAACAAAATGATGTACTACGGGTTTGTAGATCCCATTAAGACCTACAAAAAAGTCGGCGAGAACATATATCTAGCTATCATGGTTTAATCACAATAACCGATTTTGTGTTCAAAATAATTATTAAATCGTCTAAAGAAAAAAAAAGCTACGTTAAATATGTATCGTAATATTAATCTTTATCTAAATGAAGCATTATGTTATCAAGAGTATTTATGTGGAAGTAAAATACTTTTTGTTTCATCTCAATCGGATATTTCGTTTAAAAGTTATCACGTGTGTAAGATGTTAAGAGTTGGTACCTATATATTTTATCTCGGTATTTCCACGGAAACGAGAAAAACGCGGGTGAAACCGGGGGGCACGGCTAGTCAGAAATACGAGTCGACACCTGTATTTCTGTGTTAGTATGAAGGCCAATCAACTTTCTTATTGAAGTGAAACTTCTGTACGCAGGCTTGACTTGGGGAGTAAGCTGGCGAACGCGTTAGTCGTTACGAAAAGTGTGTTCGGGCGAGGCGAACGGGAGTTGAGTGGGGGAGATAAGTAAGAGAAAGCAGTGCGCGCGCACATTTTCTTTCTCTCTTTCTCTTATAGCTAGTAAATGAAATACGTATATGTACATACATGTATAGACATAGAGATTATTATATTGTTGGACATTGAGATTATTATATTGTTTGACAATGATAATGTGAATTTGTTTATATTATGATCAATGAATGGAATAATTGTAATAAGTTTTTTTTCTCGACATGTCAATTAATTTGCACACCCCATTGGGTAAGAATATAGGATGCTCTTTATCTCTGTATCACCATTTGTAACCATATTCTGCAAATAAAGATTATTATTATTATTATTATTACATATAGACACATATATATGTATTTTTTTTATTTAATAGGCAGGCATAGTTCAAATAGAACGAGCTTTAGCACCAAACGACCACCCCACGTTCATAGGGGCTTTAGCTGATATTGTGGCCTCACATCTCAGCAACGGACCGACCATCAACGCCCAGTTTTTGACCAGGTGAGTTCAATGGTCCAAAATATTGTTAAAAAAAACCACTTCACTTAATTTTTCACTGAATATATGGTAGTTTCCACCTAAATTGCGTAATTTGTGTAGAATTTTAAAGGTGCTTTCTACTCTTAAAGTGGGGTAAAAGTCCCTAAGATGGTAACACTGATCCAACGTAGATTACCCTCCAAAAAACCTTGCTCACTAGAATTCTCCTTAATTTAAATTAATACCCTCAATATGGTATGTAACCTTGAGCTAACTAAGTTTTATCTTCAAAATCCCCAGCTCACTAGATTTCTCCCTTAATTAGGATTAAGACTCTTAATTTGGCGACACTAAACTAAAGGAGTTTTCCTCAACTAAATCGATATCTCCCTACGAAATTGGGTAAAACCCCTTTACTGGTAACCCTGAATAGGGTATTTGACAAATTTTAGAAAAAGATCTCACGTTATTTACTAGTCCATATCCATAAAAAGTGGATATTCATCATTATGTTGTGTATTTCGGTAAAAAACTAAATCAAAAACTCTATTTTCAAGTTGCCGCGAAAAACGTATCTCTGGACAACATGGCGTCTCACTGTTGTTTGACGTCACACGACTGTCATTAAAACGTCAAAGTATACAATCTAATGTCCTGTTATAGAACCGGAAGTTTACTTGCGTGTGACGTCATTTTAGGCTCCACCAATCCCAAGCGTTTTGGGTCACGTGACAATAGATAAGAAAACTATTATCTTTATCGTGGGTTTTTAGTAAAATTATGAATAAATTTTCTGTAAAAATAGTAAAAACTCCTGCCAATATTCATTCTAAATACAGATGCTAGCAATTGGCACTTTATTTTTAATACTGTCAAATACCCTATTTCTTTTACCTACTTATAAAGTGGCGATTTAATTGAAAAATATCCCTTTTGCAGGTGTCCACATTGTGTCAGCAAAAGGTGTCAAAGTTCCAAAGAATTCTTCAGAAAGTTGTGCAGCTCTACAGACGTTCACACACAAACTGTGACTACGTCATAATTAATAATAAATATGTACTTGTAAATACTCGTCTATTAATAATCTATATATCAATACTGTATACTAATATTATGAAGAGGAAAAATTTGTAGATTTGTATGTTTGTAAGAAGTGAAACTTCTTTTCTTAAATAACCTAATCTAACCTAACATTAGGCGGTGCATAAGGCATAGAGGAATGGAGCAACGCACGCAACACTCATATCATCATTAGCTTATTAATGTCCCCACTGCTGGGGCACAGGCCTTCCCTATGGATGGAATACGGAGATTGGGCCACGGCCCACCACGCGGGCCCAGAGCGGATTGGTGGATGCTAACGACTGCAGATGCAGCCGGGACCAACGGCTTAACGTGCCTTCTGAAGCACGGAGGAACTCGAGATAGAAGATTTTTGGTCACCCATCCAATGACCGACCACTGCGAAAGTTGCTTAACTTCAACGATCGCAGTCGAACGCGCTAACCACCTGCGCCATCGAGCTCCTCATCGCTCATATATATGTGTATATATACAGGGTGAAATTGAATGTTTCAATGAAACTTCGTGGGATTATTGGGTTACGTATATAGAGTATCTCTGAATTTTTTCGGATTTTTTAAAAATGATTTAAAATAAAATTTCGTTTTTTTTTTGTTATATTTTAATCTCCTTTTGGGTACTAAATAATTATTCTTTTTAAACACTCATACAGAGTAAGTAAAAAACAACTAATTAGCACTACTAAAAAAACGTAAAAACAGAAGACGAGCGGTCGGGAGCAATGACCGCTCCCGCCGTTGAATCGGTTGAATACCTACCTATGCGCGGTGCAAAGCGCAGTGAACGAGCGCAGTGTCAAGTTTATCCACCGCGCATGCGTATCTTTTAAATTTGGGACAAGAGAAGATTTGCAAATAATGCCATGATTAGTTCTTGTTCTGTGGCCTCAATATAAGAAGTTGGATATGGTGTGTTGTTATTGTAGTGTCACGGTATACTCAGCAGAGCCACAAGGCTTTACGAAAGTAGGTTTGATGATTGATTGTGTTTACAAAGTGTATACGGGAAGTTTAAGTGAAAAAAATGAATAGGTACATCGGTCTCGTAAGTACTTTTAAATACCGGGTTATAAATTTCAGCCAAGTATTGAACTGCAATAAGTATTTCTTTTTGTTTAACATTTGCCTATTTCTAATCGTGACAAAATTATTATTAACTTTTAAAGTTTTTCTCCGCTTAAGAGAAGATGACATTTGTGCTTATTATTTCAATAAAGGCATCTAAGACGACTTTATTGTATTGTGTGGAATCAAAGGAGTCAACTGAACTCTGTGTAGAGGTACGTACTCACTCAACGGCTGGCGGGCGCGGTCGGTCGTTGACCCGCCGTGGAATTTTAATGTTTTTCCATTTTTTTGAAGTACTTATTTATTAGTTATTTTTCACTGGATATGTAAGTTTGTTTGTTTAAAATGAATAACTACTCAAAAGGAGAAAATGACATAAAAATACACAAATTATAAATAAAAACATGAAAAAAAATACTTCAAAAAAATCCGAAAAAAATCAGGCATACTCTTTTCACGTAACCCAACAATCTGACGAAGTTTCATTAAAACATTCAATTTCACCCTATATATATATATATATTGTCGCGTGTGACGCTCGTAGCATTTCAAACTTCGCCGAGTTACCCTCCAACTTTCATGCTCGTCGGGAAGAGTTGCGCACGCATCCCTCTTACATTTATATAGTCGTGTGACGCCCGTGACGCATTTCCGTTTCATATTTTCCGCAGAATTTTTCCATTTACACCCCTTCCGAAAAGAAGTTTCACTTCAATAAACTCAAAAACTATTTCAACATAGAACAAGCTATATTTTATTGACCTCTCTGAGCTCAGCTATCAGTGAGCCAGATTTCGCCGAAATTGGTTAAGTAGTTTCGGAATTTATCCAGGGCTCAAATATGGTGTTACGAGATTTATATATGTATATATTATTAGATGTAGTTTGGGAAATTAAAAAACGAAAGAATTAGTGTTTCATATTTTCTCGAATCTGGGTGGTTGTGGTCGCGTCGTTTATGTTAAGTAAAAGCTCAAAATATTATACTTAAGTTGTATGTTTGTTTTGGCTTATGGAGTGACTTTTGAGTTTTGAAATTATGTTTTTTGAAGTAAAACTTCTTTACGCACGCTTGACTTGGGGGGTAAGCTGGCGAATGCGTTACGCGTTACGAAAAGTGTGATCGGGCGAGGCGAACGGGAGTTGAGTGGGGGAATGCAAGAGAAGCAGTGCGCGCGCACATTTTCTTTCTCTCTTTCTCTTATAGCTAGTAAATGAAATATGTATATGTACATACATGTATATATTGTACTCACCCACATATAAGTATATATCGCACGTCACAAACAATAGGGTATTAAGTCGGCAAAACCATTCATTTTTTTATTTGCGTTTCGAAAACTACATTTTTTTCTCTTATAAATTGGTGAGATAATTGTATTTTAATTCGAAATGGTTTTTGAATTATAGCAACACATATGTCGTCAATTTCTAGGCAAAATTTATGATTGTGAGTATTCTAAACAGTATTAAGTTAAGTTAATACCCTATTGCCCGTTCGGATTAATACAAGTGTGAAATTTTATTTCAAATAATACCCTTTGGCCTGTTAAATTTTATTTAATATGTTATTTTCAACGAAATTATTTTAAAATGATACTAGTTGTAATTTTAACATGAGCCATTTGAACTGCTTATAGGGTATTCTCTTTACCCAGTCACATAAAAGTACTTTTAAAATAAAAACTACTATTGACACACCAACTAAACTTACTCGACACAAAGAAGGATAATGTACGTTTAAATCAAGGTATCATTTTAAACATTTGAACAAGCAGTTCCGCTTCTATGATTTTTTAAAACTTGAAAACGCGATATCTTTAAACACTGTTTTTTTTCTAAATGGCTCCGCACGGCTTGTGCATTTAGCCAATGTCAAGTGTTAAATGTAGGTATACAAATACTATAGCACTCGTGGTCAAAGTAATAAGTCAAGTCAAAGTAAGTGGCAGTCAAGTCAATCCCCCTTTCCCCATGTTTCAGTAAAAGTGTGGGGATTTACTGGAACCTCCCCGTGGACTTCTTGAGGGAACGTCGAAAGACACTTTCCGCTATTTTGTTTCACTTGCCAACACTTGTGCATGTTCCCGAACACTTGGTGGTTAATAATCCACCATTATTAGACACTAACATCCGCCACAACACATTTTTTATCAAGAAAAACAAAACTGCTAAAGTGACGCTTCCCGATCCCGCCAAAAAGTCCAAACACTGTTTTTGAAGATAATACCCTTTTGTTTGTGATGTGCTATATATATATATATATACATACAGATGGAGCTAAAGAAGTTTCACTTCAGTCGTGTGGTCATCAGTGTTGCCAGGTCTCCAGATTTCACAGGAGATTTCCTGTTTTTCTGAAATTTCTTTTGTTCTACTGTTTTTCTACATGAATCTCCTGTTTTTTTAGAATACGATTTTCTTTTTTAAATTGAATGTTGAGTTACATTTTCCGTCATTAATAATGTAGAAAACCTTCATAATTATAAAATAAATGTAATTGTCTAAAAAAATAGCTTTGAGGGGTGGCAGAAGCCACAGAAACACAACCGTTACTGGTTTTTATCTTGATTTGATTTACCAATCCTAAGAATCGTAAAAAGTACGCCTCTTTACTACGGTTTTTCTTGTAGCTCTTTCCACACATATACTGTTTTTATCTATAACGCCTCCCGATTTTTGAAAATTGGCAACACTGGTGGTCATAAGCACACTGTTTTTTTTTTAATAATTTATTTATGCGTTATCATTTTTGTGATTAGAGAAATTTATCTATCCAAAGGTATCTCTAGATCTGTTCATTGGTTTTATGGGTGCTTTAACTATGTTAATTATGACTATCCGTTTATTATGACGTAGTTACACAACGAAGTTTGGTTTTCATATAAAATTCATTGTAACAATGTCGGATATAATGACTTCGCTTACAGTGACATGTCGCTTATTATGACCCATTTTTAATCAATTTTGTGCGTTTATAGTGACCGACGTGGTTCTTTACACCTACGGTAATGTTCGTTGATTCAAATTGAACATCAAGCATTGTTTTTAGTGATATGCTATGTAAAAAAATGTCATCTCAACGTCGTAAAGCATTTACGACTGAGGAAAAAGGTGCAAAGCATATTATTATGCTGATTAGAAAATGGAGAATCAAACTCATCTCACAATCAAAAAAGTTTCACAAAAATGCTTTGTATGACGTCCGCTTAGTATGACGTGTTTGTCGATGCCCTTCGAAGTCATAATAAACGGATTGTACTGTAATGTCGTAAGATGGTTTGATAAATCGTTTTTTTTTAAACGCTGATAATAAGACAATGGAGATGACATTGCTTGATGTTAATGTTGATGATTTTGTTTTCTGGCGTTAAGTCGGCTGCTGCCGCGGCATATAAATGTGATCTCACGAATGATTCTTTACAGAGACGAAATTATGTTGTTATCAGTGTAGCCAGGTACGATTTTAAAAAATCGGGGAAAAAACAGTAATAATAATATTTGTTTGTAAAAAAATGTACATGGTAAAAATCTTATAAATATGTTGAAACTAAGGCCATTGTTTCACACAAAGTACAGATAGACATGATTTTATTTATTTTTTAAGCATTTTAAATGCTAGATGTTTAAATCTAAAGAAAAGTTTACTAGAAAAAAATCCACGCGGACCAGACAGCGGACGGGACTCGAACCCGCATCCTTCGCTATCCGGGCGAATGCACTGACCATTATGCTACCACGACCCTATTAGCCGCGTCGAAATTTTCCTAGCCTTAAGCTGCAAGGCAGCGCCATCTCTTCGCATTGTGTTTTATTTTCTAGTAAACTTTTCTACAGATAGACATTCTCAGTAGATGTAAAGAAATAGCTGCAAGAAAAAACAGCAGAAGCAGGGGCATATTTTTTTCCAATTTGCGGGAAGAATAGGAGACTTTTGAGAAAAACAGGAGATCTTTCTTAAAATTGGGAGACCTGGCAATGGCAGCACCCCGGCAAAATTCTTGAGCAACGACCAGGGGGTCAATCGCCTTGCGGAACTGCTATGACTATCGCTATCGCTTACGATTTCATTTTGTTATTTTCTGAATAAAATAAAATAGAATAATACTAGCAAACCAGTGAACCAAAATTAATTGAGAACTTCGGAGATTTTGTGTGGTTTTGTTTGAAATTCGTGATTTCTCGAAAACCGGAAGGGCTACGTTACTCAAATCCGGTTTGTAGTCTTATCAGACTATTCTTAACTTATAACTTAAACAGTCTCTTTATCTATCTCTTACGGTTTGGCCGCTGAAACAGCACCACAGACGGACGGACGGACGGACTTGTCTAATAGATAAGAGATTTTATTTACCTTTGAACAGGGTAACCAAGTTCACAAATAGTTACACATAACCATATTGTACACATCATTATATCCATCATATTGGACAGTATCATAATTATTAATCGATATTTTGCCTTAATCAACTATAGTAATAACGTATGCGGCGACATATATAAAACTCGAAAGGTGACTGACTGACTGACATAGTGATCTATCAACGCACAGCCCAAACCACTGGACGGATCGGGCTGAAATTTGGCATGCAGGTAGATGTTATGACGTAGGCATCCGCTAAGGAAGGATTTTGATCAATTCTACCCCCAAGGGGTTAAAGTAGGGAATGAAAGTTTGTATGAAACTTTGTCAATTTTAAACCGATCGGGCTGAGACTGCATGCAGGTATAAGAAGAATCATAGATGAATGTCATTGTGTATAATACAAACCTGAGAACAAAAACTGTAGTCTACACCGAAGCGAAGCGAGGGCGGGCCGCTAGTCAATACTATGTCACATAATTGAATAAAAATTATTTAACAAGTCACAGAAAAAGTCAGAAGTCGGTACCTTACGCTCATTTTCTTTAATATTGTAGTTACCAATACCAAAGAAAAAAAAACGCGAGGCATTTGAAAATCTTCGGCGGTCAAAAAAACAAAATGTTATCGTAATCGATAGCGATAGCCATAACAATCCCGTAAGGCGATTGACCTCCAGGAAGCCTGCGCAGTAGCAATTTCACATATAAAAACGTCTACTGCCCAAGATTATTTGTCTGTAGTTTTGTTAAAGTTTTCCGCCAGCATAAATATACACAATTATTTACTTATGTAGATATCTTATTTGCATTTTTCTTAATGTTTGGTTGTTTGTTTACGAGACTGGTTATTGGTTATCTTTGTTTTTTTGAACTCTATATTATCTATATAAATTGTTTATGGTATAATACAGTTTTTTTTTTATTACAACCTGCAATGTAGTTGGTCGAGCGCCATAAGGATGGTTTTAGTTTATTTGGTAAAATTATGTTTCTATCTTATTATGTGTGGCGATATACCAGGAAAACTTCTCGCACCCACTTATCTGTGGGATTGATGTCGCCGTGGCTGAGGGCACTGGCTGGTTACAGGAACAGACATTGTTTATGGTGCCTTTCGTGTAAAAATTGAACATACTCTCTTCCTTCAAAAACTGTCAAGATGTGTGTCAATACTTTTCTTTAATTATTATTAAAATATTCGGGACAATCGAAAAAACTACAATTGTGACGTGCGCTTTCTGGAATGCCGGCAAAGCAGGGTCCAGCCGCCTCACATTACGCCCGTCGGAGACCACGCAACCCATCGTCTTGGAGGTAAGTGGGCGCTTCCTTTTTCCTGGTATTGAACCACATAATTTATCATTTCGGTGTAATCCACACCAGGTGTGGGCTATTTACACGCGCCACACCAGTAGTAGTAGGGGAGTCAAAGCGGGGATTTTTGGATTTTTGGAGAATAACACATGGGGAGCAACCTTGCACCTAGTTAAGTACTCCCACTATACCTGAGCCATCTATGTAGCGCCGAACGTCTAGGGCAGCAAAAACAAATTTTCAAGAAACGGCCATGACTTTTGGTCGGATTCAAATCGTCAGTCTTTTGAATAGGAGCTACTGGAGGGTTCACGTAACATCCCTTCTCAATGCTCGGTTATTTTTTCCTATATTCTACCCCTTCTTACGGCCACCCCCATATCATGCAAACAGCGGCAGATCAATATTTTTTCCGTTCTTAGAAACGTTACATGAACCCTCTAGTAGCTTATATTCAAAGGACTGGAAATCAGAAATCAATATATCTTTATTCAAATTGGATGTATAGTACAACACTTTTGAATCGTCCAAACATTTTTTTTCCCTACCACTCGTTATTGGACATATTTTTTAGCTGCGGAGAAAAACGAGCGAAAAAAACTCCACAACATTAAAAGCATAATGTAACAACAGGGCGATTTGGGCGTGACCAAAAGTCATGACCGTTCGTTGAATTTTTGTTTTTGTTGCCCTGGACTGGTTCTCTGTCGGATTATCTCATTTCTGATGCGATCCTTCAGAGAAACGCCGAGCATAGCCCTTTCCATAGCGCGCTGAGCGACTTTGAACTTGTGGACCAGCCGTACCGTCAGTGTCCACGTCTCGGCTCCGTATATCACCACAGGCAGGACGCACTGATTGAAGACTTTCGTCTTTAGGCTCTATGGGATCGACGATGTCAGGACTTGACGTAGCTTCCCAAACGCTGCCCAACCTAGCTGAATTCTTCTATTCACCTCGTCCTCAAAGTTGTTTGTACCTAACTGCAATGTCTGCCCGAGGTATACATATTTTTGAACAACTTCGAGAACGGCGCCGTGTATTGCAATCGGTTCCGGTAGAACATGTTCATTGAATATTACCTTCGTTTTATCCAAGTTCATCCGTGGTCCGTACAATAATTTCAAATATTTTTAATATAAAACAACAAACAATAATTTCTAATGACATACGAACATGATTGGAAAATACTTATATGATCCGAAGCCACAGGTAAATATTAAAATATATTCAAACTGTCTTACTACTTCGTTAACGTTTGTATGTGTAGGGAGTATGTACACCGATCACGTAATGTTACGTAAACCCGGTCAATATGTCTGTCCATACGCGTCCTGAATATTGATGCATATGTAATGGTAGAGAAAATCAAGTAGTGTGTCAAGTGGCAGCGGCGATGACAACAATATTTAGAGTTCCGTATTTGATATTGATAAATGAAGAGAACCATACTAGCACAGAACACAGAAAATGGTAAGAAGGATCATTGACTGTTTGTTCGGGAACCGATGTCACCGGCTCGCCCCCTACCCCACACGCGACAATATATATATATATACTAGCTGACCCAGCGAACTTCGTACCGCCATAAAATTAGGGGTTGGCGGTTAAGGTTGAAAATTTAGGGTTGTATGTATTTTTTAATAGGTACCAATTTATAAAAACATAAATATTGTCCAAAAAAATTTAAGGGGTGTGTAACGTAGTCACGGAGTACCCCCACTAGAGTCCGCATCACGCAAATTTTGTTTGAAATCAAAATCGCCAAAGTCGGCGGCGTGCAGGGAGATCAGCCGCGTTGTGATTGGACACGTCAAGGTCAGATGATATACTCAGTGCAGCGAAGTGATGAGGGTAAGATCGATTTTAGAAAATATCGATATTTTCTATCGATAAATAAAGGACACCCGGCATTATGTGCCAAAGTTGTATACTTTTTTAATTTTTTTATCTGTGTTTCATTTTCAGACTAGTAACTACATACTAAATAAAATATAAGCAACACAAAAAACACGTAAAAAAAAAATCTAGATAGACAATAATATGCTGTTTATGACAACTTTTAAAACTTAAGGCGCCTTACTCATCGGCTCGGTACAGGTTCGTTTTGTTTGCGGGAGTGACTGTCAGTGGTAAAGTGACGAGAACATATGTAACTGTTTACAGTTGGAGTCCAATCTTTACGTTTAGTTGCACTTATCCAAAGTTCCTTCATCTTGGCACATTTTGGAAACCTATGAAATAAATAAAACACGTAATGTTACTGTATTTTGATTCTCGCATCAGTCTGTAAGATATCACCTTAAATATCTCTTTAAAGATTTTGCTCGTTGCTGTTCTCGTGAAAGGCACATGCGATATACAGACTTAATGAATTCAATATTAATACGGTGACGTCCGTGGCTCTTGACTTAGCACACGCAAAATAACCTAAGTATAACCAAATTATTGATTTTGAAGGAACTTGGTAAATACTTATCAAATTTTATGCTAGCTACCACCCGCGACTTCATCCACGTTAACTTTAGTTTTTTGAAAATCCTAAAGAAACCTGACATTTTTCCGTTACAAAAAGTATTCTATACAACGATATTTTATACCCTAGATACGACAACATGTACAAAATCGTGGCCGAAACGTGACTAAAAGGTACATTTGACGATTCACAGAGGTCCGTAAGATGATCGCGTGGTCAAAAACAATGTAATGCATTATTTAAAAAAAAGTCACCTTTAATGCATACGGCATAAGCTCTTAATTAAAACGCATGCATCAAAAATTTATGGCACTTCAAAATGCAAGTTCCTAAAATTTTACGACTTATTGTTATATGCGAAAGAAAATAGACCTTATTTTTTTTAACTTTTCGCGCTCAATTCTGAATGTGCTGTTAGCTATTATAGCAGGTACAGACCGCGAAGAAAAAAGACGGCTATAGGGCGACGTATAACCGACCATGCT